TGACACGTGGCCTCTTTTAGCCTGCACCCTCTGTACTGAACAATGAGCTCCAGCCGGAGGTGCTCCCTGTAGGCTTTCTCCTTGCACCCCTCTTCTGACTTCTTGGCCTGAGTAGTGACTTGCCTTTCTTTCTTGCAGTTATCTGCAAAGAGCTAAGGAAGACATGCTGTCTTATCACCAGCTCTGGGCTGGGTGGCAGCTGCCAGCAGGGGCAGAGAATCCCCTGCTGGAGATGGGAGATGTCCCTCTATGTCAGGAAATTCCATCGGGGCTGAATCAGATGGATGTCAGAGTCCATCAAGAGACAGACAACCCCCTGCTGGAGACCCAGAGGGAGTCTTGTGGGCCCCCAGAGAGAAGGCTGGGTGTATCCTGTTAAGGAAGAATGAAACCTTCAATCCCTGAGCTGTGAGCTGCGTGGTATTTTATTTTGTAAATTAACATAGCTCAGCTGACTAGTAGTTCTATTCTGCGTTCAACTGACTCTTTCTCTACTGCATGCCTATCTATGTCACCTGCACTGCATACCTCATTGCATGCACACATGTATCTGTAACCCATGTGGGGACTCCTTCCTGCTTTGGTTGCTAGCTAGCCCTGAAGCTCTTCAAGTGTAGTTTCTGAACTTAGCTGTGGTCACTGCTCTTGTTGTGTTTCACCCTTCATCTGCTCCCCTCCTTGACAACTTTGAATATCTGATAGCTTAAACAATGAAGAAAAGAAAATCCCATTGAAAGGCTATTACAGATGAGTGTCTATTTTCTACCCCAGACTCACGGAAGCCCTGTAACTGGACTATGGGAGAATGGGAGTATGGGAGGACAGATGGAGATTGGAGCCAGGCTCCCTAGGTTCAAATCCCAGCTCCTCCCCCAGGCTCATCGTAGGATCTCAGTCAAGTCTCTCAACTTTGCAATGCCAGAGTTGCTTTCAAAGGGGGCAAAGCTTTGCCTGGTTAGGCTGCTGTGAGAAATGGAGGAGATAACTTTTCTAAATCCCCTGATGTGCAGAAATTGCAGGTGAAGATTTGCCGATGCCGTCAACAGTAGTCTCAGACAGGCAAGGTGGAAGACGCGAGTTCCTAATCACCACTCTCACTATAAATCTCACAAAATTATGAATGATGCTCTTTAATTCCTTCCAGAGTGTGGAAAGAAGGCATTCTCTGACTCTTTACCTCTGGATTTGCTGCACTGGAATATTATGAATGACAGCCCACGTGATGGAAGCTTTTCTGTTGACACAGAAAGGGAAGATATCACTATCTATCCAACATTGACAGCTAGACCAATCTAAGTGGGTCATTTACCCTGTATTTCCATATTTTTAATTTTTATTGAGGATAAAGAGGCACCCTGTTCTAGAAGATTTATAATGAAAACTGTCATCTTCCATTCCCAGCACCGTTTTTTCACCCTTCTAAGGCAACAACTATCATCCATTAATTTAGCTGTTTCTGAGGTTTGCTCACGTCCATGTGACATGCTGAGAGATGATGCCAGCATCCCACAGGAGAGCCTGTTCCGCTTCCAATGCAGCTCCTTGCTAAGGAGACTAGGAAATCAGCAGAACATGCTCCAGGTGCGTGGGCCCTAGCCACCGATGTAGAAGACCCAGATGGAGCTTGAGATGGGAGCTTGCTCTTTTTCCCTGTGACTATGTCTTTCAAATGTATAAACCTATTTAAAACATAATAATAAACATTTTCTTGGATGGTAACTGCTTGATCTTTCAATAGCAAGTGTTCTCCATTGCCCTCCAAGTGCAGACAAAGAATGTTTAGTTCTCTTCCAGCCCCTCCCACCTACTGCAGGGCCCCATCTTTGCCAGATAGTCACAAGTCTGGCTAGACAATGCTTAGTTTAGATTATGTGGCCTCTCTTCATAGCTAAGCCGTTAATACACACTGATTCATCTGTTTTCTCTGTGGCTTATTCATGTCTTTCTGTGTGGTTTGGTTAGTTTTGTATATAATATTCTCATACCTCCTGTGTGTTTAAAAGTTTCAGATACTCCATTAATTTTCTCCTTTTGCAAACATTCCCTCTGAAGGCCTCCAACCTGCTCCATTCTGACTAGACTAGCTTCTAAACCCGCTATCAGTGTTTCATTTTAGAATATCTTTGTCACCTTCTTTCTAGAATCTCCCTTCACCATCATTCTGGCAGTCTCCTTCAAATGCTATTTTTGGTTCCAGTTGCAGGCATTGTGGTTAATTGCAACATAATCTTATGGAACAGATGCTCTGCTCCCTGGTTTTGATGGCATCTATCCGTGGGTAGATTTTGTTGTGGGGTACAGGAGAGATCATGCCAGACAAGACCAGGCTGTATTAAGGAGTCTTTATTAACCAAGGTTGGTGATAACAGGGTCCACTAGAAACTAGCAAATGACAAATCCGTGGCAATCCAGTCTGAATAGAAACCCTGAGAGGTGCAAGTGGTCATGATCGTGAAGTCCATCCATTAAACTGAAGACCCTAGCTTCCCCAGCAGTATAAGTTATCCTAGGAGATGTGCAGCAAACAACCTGGGCATACTTACAAAACTGAACATTCACCTTTCCCTGCCTTCTCTGTCCACATTCCATTACTGTTAGGTCCACCTCTCCTAGAACTCTTGAACAAACTACACAAATTACAAATACAAAGCATCTTAGCATTGCTGTCTTTATTGTCCTGCCCAGGCAGTGAACAGAGGGTGAGAAATACAGACGTACAGGGATCATGCTCAGGGACTACCTGTCCTCGGAGTCTGTCCACGGGAAGCAGAGTGTTAGAAGCACGCAACCAAGAGTGCAAGCTTTCTCCCTATCCTGGGCCTTTATGGGGGCTTGTGAAGGGAGTGGTACACAACAGTGCAATCCCACCCCTTCCAGGTTCATCACAGGTGAGCGTTACAGGTGGGCAGAAAGGATTACATGGGTGGGGAAGGTGTAACAACAAAGAAGCTGAAGCTCGTGACCCTGAACTTGCTGCCTAACGCCGCAACACTGTTCAGAAAAGCCCCAACAGTAGGTAAAGTTATTTAAATTGAACTTTTAAGTTTATCCTTTTTTTTTTTACTTTTGCTTAATAACTTGTTTGGACAGAGAACTCCAGGCTTAAATCCTTTTCCTCTCTAATTTTGAAAGCATTGCCTCTTCTAGCTCCCAGTGTCTTTTTTGAGAAGTAAGTGTGTGTTGTTGTGGTTTTCAACCTCTGTACAGAAAGCTCTTGCGTCTCTCAGGTGTTTTTAAGGACTTTCTCTCCGCGCCAATATTTTGGATGTCTGTAAGGGAATGTCTATGTGACTTGTGTTAGATACTCAGAGAGCCCTTCGACTCTGAAAGGTTCAAAGTCCCGAACATCTGGGAATTGTTCTCAAATTACTGAGTTGATTATTTTATCCCTTAGGCTTTCTCTGTGTCTGGAATGTCTTTCCTTCCAGTGTTGAGTCTCTTGTTTTGAGGTGAGAATGGACAGTAGCGGAGCTGTCTGCAAAGAGGAAGGAAAAAGACATGTGTTCATTCTGCCGTAGTTAAGTGATTGGAGGAAATCCAGAATTAATATGTGCCACCTGTTTTTAAGTTCATCTTCCGGATTATAAAAAAAAATCGAATGCATAGTCATAACTGCTGGAAGAGGAACAGTTGGGTCCAGGGCAGTCTTACCCATGGGTGATGAATGCTGGTCACAAGTTGTAAGAATTCATAGTGCAAGGATACAGTGATAAAGGATACAGAAAGTTACGTATTTGCTCTAGAGTGATTTTTGTGGCCTGACAACTCTGTAACTTACATCTGCAAACACAAAACCTAATAAGGTAAGATCAGCAGCAGTGTGCCTGGAACAAGGAGAAGAAGGTGTTAATACAAGCAGACTGGCCTCATTATTCATTTATGGTTCTATTTAAGTCACGGCTTTCAAGTTATTTGAATCCACAAAGCCTTCTCTGACTTGATCTTTCTTTATCGATGGCACAGCAGGCAGGCAGCAAAGAGGCCCAGAGTAGAGCCATGCTCCTGGGCCCTGGGGTAACCTGTGACTGTCACCGCCCTGCTCAGGGGGCTACACTGGCTGTGTCCCTCTTCACTTACTCGGCTGAGCATGTAGGTGGCCTTGAGATGGCTGATACTCACCTGGGCTGTGATGACCCTGTCAAAACAACAGAGCAGTCATACTAGGTGACCTCAAAAAAAAAACTGTGGAGGTGCCACAGGAGGGAATACCCTCACTCCAGGAGAGAGCTCACACCCTGGCATGCTCCCTCCCTATCCCCATACCCTCTCCTCTGTCCACTCCCAGTGTCCTTCTCCTGCAGGCCACAGCTTCCTTCGCCTCCAGCAGGGCCCCTTCTCCCAACTGTGAATGCCACATCAGCATACACATCCATCTGTTCAAAGAATTTGATTATACAAAGGTCAGTGCCAAGGAGGCTAGGCATGCCGTAGAGCCCCCCCGGGCAAGCTGTCCATGGGCGTGGCCACCCCTCTGATGGGCAGCAGCTGCTCTGTTGGCTGCTCATCACCCCACAGGAGTTCTGGCTACAGCAGATATTGGTGTCACCAAGCAAAACACAAGGTTGCATGTGTTCCTCCCGTCTTTGACATCAAGCCCATTCCTGGGAGACAGGAGATGCCTCCAACAAGTGATTGCACCGAGCGGCCCCTTGCCTTCTGGCAGCTTGGGATGGCTGGCTTTCTCTGTTCTGTTGGCTGAAGTTAGACCTGAGTCACAGTCAGTAGGCAGTGTTTCCGGCTCCCTTGCTCCCTGGCTGCCTTCCACCACAAGGCCTTCCCCAAGAACCAGATAGTTTCAGCTTCAATCCCATGTCAGTATATCTGACACGCAGAAGGAGACCAGTACACCTGAGAGGCTCCATATATTTCTAGCAATTGGCACATTGACTCAACCCTGGACGGGAGGTGTGACTCCTAGTTTTGCCTGGGCTAGTGCCTAGCAGGATCCGTGCCATCTCGTCGGTGTGTTGACTGACTTTCTGTGTCACCCTGCCCTCCAGGTGGTGGCTCTGTCCTCCTGGTGCCTGCTGAGGGACTCCATCTACTACACGCTGTCCGTGGTTGCACTTATTGTGGTAAGTTGCTGTTTCCATCTATACCCCCTTCACTGTGCTTTCCGACATTGGATTCCCCTACATGGAGTTTGCTCCAAAGCAGTGCTGGGCGTCAGCAAGAGAGTGCAAATCTGTGTGTGTGCAACTTCCTTTCTCAGATCGACCAGACAACCCCCAGCTGATCCTCAGGTGCTCAGCATGGGAATCTGGCCTTGGGTTGTCTAGGTCCCTGAGCATTTCTTGTGGTTGTTCTTCCTCCAGGGCTCTCTGAGGCTCCCTCCACCTGTCCCCAGCTTGGGAACTAGCTTGTCCCAGCTTTGGAGCTAGCTTGTCCCCTTATTACCTGTAAGATCCCAAGACCCTTGCTTGGTCCCACAACACCTGTCACCATGATCACTCTGAGTTCTTACTGGTATCATCCTCCTCAAGTCCAGTTACAGATAAAAACGCTGTCAAGGACATCTCCATGTCCCAGATCCAACTTGTTTCCAACTCAACTTTCCATGTGTACCCTGGCACTGAAAGCTCCCATATGTATCCCAGCCACTCTGCTTAGACATGGTATGAAGTCAGCCCTGCCTCCCAACTCGGGTGCTACTCACTCAACCTAACAATGCTATGGGTTTCCATCTGATCACAATCTTCCCAGCAGGTCTCTTCTCTGTAAAGCTCACTTCAAAAGGCTCTTGCCAGTGCTAGTAGGAAGCTGCCACCCATTTCCCTTCCCTTCCGTCCAGGCGCTCACTATTCACAGCCACCCGAGTTTCCACCAAGGACATCTGCGAACACTGTGCCCTCATGTACTGTGATGAGCAGCACTGGGTCACCCATGGGAAAAGCCCCACCTCTTTAGCTTGCCAGGCTGAGCCATCTGGGAGGAGCAGGTGGCAAGTGAAAGAACATACAGACAGGGTTGGGAGATTTGACTGTTGACATTGTCTCTCCCCCTCCTATCCCCAACACCCCTGGATGGTAAATTTCACGCATGAGCTCCCCTGGGTGAAGGGATGCCTGATGGCAGGTAAATTGCCACTTCTAGGTGTGGCTGAAGGGTGTTTCCACGAGACATCAGCATTTTACTGTGTGTAGTTGCTGTCACCGATGTGAGTGGTCATCACCCAGCCCGTGGAAGGATCTCGCAGAAAGGCTGAGAATGGTGGATTTGCCCTCCCTGTGTGTGCTGGGCTATCCATCTTCCCCTGCCCTCACCCATGCGAGCCTCTAGTCCTTGGGACTTTGAGCATATCCTTGACCTGGAACCTTCAGCTTCCTGGTTCTCATTCCTTTGAGCTTGGCTGGAAATTCTGCCAGCGGCTGTTGCAGGTCATGGGACTCTGTCAGCCCTCACAGTAATGTGAGCCAGCTTTCATGGCCGGCCCAAATGGCCTGGGAGAAATGGATCTCTCTGGGTCTTGATTTTCTTTTTTTAAGATTTATTTACTTTTTTTTTTTTTTGAGTCAGATATACAGAGAGAAAAATCTTCCATTTGATGATTCACTTCCCAAGTGACCTCAATGGCCAGAACTGAGCTGATCCAAAGTCAGGAGCCAGGAGCTTCTTCCAGATCTCCCATGCAGGGGGCAGGGTCCCAAGGCTTTAAGCCGTTCTCAACTACTTTCTCAGACCACAGACAGGATGGGAAGCGGGGCTGCCAGGATTAGAACCAGTGCCCACATGGGGTCCCAGCACATGCAAGGCAAGGGCTTTAGCTACTAGGCTACCATTCCAGACCTGGTCTTGATTTCCTTATCTGCATACCAGGATTAGAACTCCCTATGGGGTCTATTCACCTGTCCTGTCCTACAAAGCTCTTCCCTGAATGCTTTCTTACTGTAGCTCTCTAGGCCAAAAAGGTCAATGTGATGTTTGAAGGAAACCCTCCCTAAGGTGGACCATCCTTGATTTACACACTACTCCAGCCTCCTCCAGGAGACTGTGTGGCCCTGACCTTCACTTCAAAGCTCCCAAGTTAAACAGGAAGGGAACTGATGTACCACTCTGCTTTCATCAGCAACTGAGACTCACTCATCCCAAAGGTGGACACAAGGGTTCAGGGGTGCTAATGCTGGGACTGAAGATGTGCTTGAACTTGTCAACTCTTGGTCAGGAGACACGAGGCCCCACATGAAGTCCAGGTTCATGTTCTTGGCCATTACCTGGGGAGAGAATTAGACACCTAAAACACATCTCTCTCCCAGACTCCTGGAACTCTGTCTCATCTTTGCCGTGTGGCCAGCCTGTGGAGCCCGGCTGGTTGTGAGAGCCCTGTCCCCCTGTCCTTAGCATCTTCATGTGATTTTGTTCAAGAATTGGGAGTCAGGATGGGACAGATGAACACAGCCGTCTACTCCTCTGCCTTCCGGAAAGAGATGACTGTATGCATGCAGACAAGGCAATCAGCGGACGCGACAGGGCAAGCTCTCCCAAAGGGAGCTCAGTGATACCCATTCCCTCCTGCCGTGTTGTGTCAGGGGCGTTCCCTGTTTTCAGCATGGGCACCTCCTGCACTGTGTGTGAAGTCACTGTCTTCTGCGCAGTGTATCTGGTCATGTTCAAGATGAAATGAACCTAATAGTTGCTAATGATGTACAAAGAGAGATTTCGCAGGTGACACACTCAGTGGAGCCAGGACTTCGGGCACGAGAGCCATCTACGTTGGGGTGTGGCGTGTCAGTTGCAGAGCTGGATGGGCTCAGCCTGCTGCCCCCCAGCAGCTCCGGATTTTCTCCAGACAGAAGCCAACTGCGAGGGCAGATGACTCTCTGCCGTTCCTCTCAGCCGTGTGTTCACAGACCAGTTGTCAGGGCGAGAGTTTTGTGATAAGAGATGGAAAAGACAATATCTGAGTCTACAGGGTGAAGTCCGGAAACTTCTTCCTTTGACTGAGGCCACTCCAAACTCCACTGGATGTTGGTTACTCCCGGCATGCTTGCCTCACATGAGGCCCCAGAGATGGCCATCCACAGGCTCAGGGCCCAGCAAGCTCCATTTTCACCAGCACCTCCCCCCACCCACTCCTACCACCAACAGGCAGCTCTGCTCCCAGCAGCATCACACCAGACAGGTGAAGACCAACCTTCATTATGGCTGCAAAGCATCCTCTTGGGATGTCCCTCCACTGTATAGCCATGATAGTGCTGGAGTCCATTTCTGAGCGTCCATGAGAAGACACTCATGGCAGTATATGTTGCTGGGTTTGGCTGGGTTCCTTTAAAGTGTGTCTGTGTGTGTGTGTGTGTGTGTGTGTGTGTGTGTGTGTGTGTGTGTGTGTGTATGTATGTATGTGTGCATTTTAATTGGAAAGGTAGAGTTACAGAGAGAGAAGGAGAGAGAAATAGAGAGAGAGAGATTCCATCCACTGGTCCATCCCCCAGATGCCACGATGGCCAGAGCTGGAGCAGTCAAAAATCACAGGAGTTTATTCCAGCTCATCTATATGGGTTCAGGGGCCCAGGTAATTTGGCCATCCTCCACTGCTTTCCCAACTATGTTGGCAGGGTCCTGGGTCAGAAGTGGAGCAGCTGGGACTCAAACCAGCACCCAAATGGGATGATAACAGCACAGATGAAGGCTTCACTGACTGCACCCACAAGCACCAGCCCCGTTTGGGTTTCTGATGTAGAGTTACAGTGGATTAGTGGATTTTGTGAAACAGTGTCCCAATCCTTGGGATCACTTTCACAAGAGACTAAAAGTGGGCATGAAGAGCCCCTCTATGTGACCAAGAAGCACAGCCCTTAGCCAAGCAGTGGCCCCCTCAGGGACCCACCCCAATGCTGTGCCCCAGCCCCAGCTGCTGCCTGCAGCTCACACACTTGTGTCTTTTCCTCATTGTTCTTCCTTCCCCTTTTTCTCTCTTTTCTCTTAATAATCTTGGTCACACAGTCATTTCTCTTCCGGCTTTGCTTGCATAATCTAAGCTTCTCTGTGGGATTCTGCCATGGTGCTTAAAATTCCTTTATTTAAAAGTCCTTCCTTCTACCCGCCAACTCACTACCAACCTCCTTCAAGCAATTTCTCTAACTATTAGGTATTTTTTAATACTCTCCCCCATTATATGGTTCGGAAATGCTCAGCGGGAGGAACTGCCGGGCCTTGGGATTGTGTAATAAAGAGCTCATTCACACGGGACAAGATGCTGAGACCACATGCATTTCTGTATGCAGCCTTGGCAAGAGGCTCCACAGCCTCACACTGAGAAGCTGGGACAAGCTGGGGCCTGCAGGTCCTGCGAGCAGACAAGACTGAGGTCAGTACTGTGGCACAGTGGGTTAAGCCACCAGCTGTGATGCCAGCCTCTCTGGTTCCTGGCTGCTCCACTTCCAATCCAGCTCCCCACTAATGCACCTGGAAAGCAGGAGAAGGTGGCCAAAGTGCCTTGGTCCCTGGGACCCCCGTGGAAGTTCTAGACTCTGGCTGGAGCCAGGGTCGGGGAAGGAATCGGCCGATCTCTTTTTCTCCTTCTCCTTTCCCTCCTCCTTCTCTTTCCGACTTCTTCCTCTTTGTTACTTTCTCTATCACTTTTGTATCAGATAAATCCTTTTCAAAAGTGAGAAAGAGGGGCCCAGCATGGTAGCCTAGTGGTTAAAGTCCTTGCCTTGCATGCGCCAGGATCCCATATGGGCACTGTTTCTAATCCTGGCAGCTCCACTTCCCATCCAGCTCCCTGCCTGTGGCCTTGGGATCCTGCACCCACATGGGAGACCTGGAGGAAGAAGCTCCTGGCTCCCATTGCAGCCACTTGGGGAGTGAATCATCAGACAGAAGATCTTTGTTTCTGTCTCTCCGCCTCTCTGTAAATCTGACTTTCCAATAAAAATGAATAAATCTTAAAAACAAAAAGAAGAAGGGCTGGGATGGTGGTATAACAAGGTAATCCTCCACCTGTAGTGCCAGCATCCCATTGGGCACCATTTCTAGTCCCAGTTGTTCCACTTCTGACTCTTGTCTCTCCTCTCTCTATAAAATCTGCCTTTCAAATATAAATAAATAAACCTTTTATTTTTTTTTAAGTTTATAA